GCATCACAAGAAACTCGTAAGAGCCATACCTTGTCACACAAGCTGTCTTTGGCTCGTCGCCCTCTGCTATCCGCACTTGATAGTAGCCCGAGCGTCTATCAAGATTGGTGAACCACATCGCATTTCCAAGCGTTTTGATGGCTCTATAGTCGATGCACATGCGCAACGACCCTTTCTTATACTTTTGGAACAACACCGGTGCTCCAAAAGGTGACTTCGATGGCCGCATATAGCATGTGTCCACCAAGTTCTTGAGTTGCCTCTGCAACTCTTCTAACTCCGGTGACTCCATGCGGTATGGTGCTTGCGAAGGGGGCTTCGCTCCTGGCTCCAACTCGATCTTGTGATCCACCTCTCTTCTTGGTGGCAGCTTCTTGGGAAACTCCGATGGCATCACATCATCGAACTCTTTGAGGATTCCTTGATGATGGGAGTTGTGATTCCCGTTGAGCCTTCTTCTTCCTTTATCTTCAAGGAAACTAGAAAGGTTGGTTCATTTTTATTGAACCCCTTCAATACCTGCATAGCCGATAGAGCACTATGGGGGCCATCTTCTCTCAAGAGATGGACCTCATGGAACTCTTCTTCCTTCTCCAAGCACATCGTGTTGGAGTTGGGCTTCATGAGCATTCCCTCCTTGTCGAGGAAGTTGATGCCGAGGATGACTGGGCGATTGTCCATGGTGACGACCGAAAAGTCGATGAGGCCTTCCCACTCGCCAAGCTTCACTGGCACGTTGTGAGCAACTCCATGGATCGGGATGGACTCCGAGTTGATCGTCTTGAGCCTCCCTTGCCCCTTCTCGTAGGCAATACCCAGCCGGTTTGCCTCCTCGATGCGAAGGAAGTTGTCCGTGGAACCGGTATCCACCAAGGCTTTTGACTCGCCTTGCATGAACTGTGCCAGAACATAGCACCTCCCACGCTTGCTCTCCTTGAAGTTGGTCTTCACCGCGCCAAGCTTGCGGATTGAGCCAATCTTGGCCTCCACCGCCTGGGCTCTTCATCTTAAGCATTCATGGACGCCAATCTCGCCTTCCTTGGGAAATCTCGCACTCGATGTGGTCCATCGCAAAGGAAACAAGATATGGGCTTTGGTTCGTACTTACCCCCTTTGCTTGAACCACCTTGGTGTTGCTGAGTGCGAGTCCCCTCCTTGAAAGGCTTCTACTGTTCTCCACCCTTGTTGGGCTTTGAACTCTTCTCTTTGCCCCTGCTCTCTTGCCTTTTGTACTCAACAAAAGACTCCGCCGTGGCCATGGCAGATGCAAGGTCTTGCACTCCTCGACGTTGCATCTCCATCTTGGCCCATGGTTGCAGCCCATCAAGAAAATCGTGCAGGCTTCCTTGTCTGTGATGTCCGGGATCTCTAGAAGCAGCTCCGAGAATTCTTTCACATATTCTCGAACTCCACCCCTCCGAGTGAGTCTTCTCAACTTCGAACGAGCTTCAAACTCCACGTTCTCCGGGTAGAACTGCTTATTGATTTCTCTCTTGAAATCTTCCCATGTTACCATCACACACGTACCTCTTTCGACGTCCGCTTCACGTCGCCTCCACCACACCATGGCAACATCAACCAAGTAAAGTGGAGCGGTACGGAGTTTTACCTCATCCTCTTGGATGCCAGATGCCTTGAAGTACTGCTCAAGACTCCAAAGGAAGTTCTCTAACTCCCTCGTGTTCCTTGAACCTTCGAAGTTCTTCGGTCTTGGAACATCAGCACGTGGGACGGATTGCACCAGCTCTTCAAGAGAGTGACCTCACTCTTGAGGTCTGCAATCTCCTCCTTCACGCCGACCAGCTCATCCTGGACATGCTCTTTCACAACTTCAATCGCTTTGTTCATGGACTCGGAGATGGTGTTGGTGATGAGAGCCACGAGCTCTTCTCGCATCCCATCATGGTTGATCTCCAAACTTGTCAACTGACCAGCCATTCCTAGAACATCGCTTTGGACTTGGGTGAAGTTAGCTCCCAAATCCCCGATGGCGGTGACATCTTCAGAAAGCTACACCTCCATTCTCGAGACTTGCCTCTCTAGAGACTTGAGAGGATCACGAGTGCTCGACGAACCTTTTGCCCTCGCGCCCGGGGTGGGTTCTCTTCCACGCTGATTCTCAGGTTCGGTAACGCCACTATCTGATCCCGACATTTTTGGTGAGGCTCTTCCTTTGTGTCTGGCTATTACTTCTACTTTGCTAGCACAAAGCCGAATGGAGCTCTGATACCACTTGTCACGACCTTACTCTCGATCGTGCGACCCTAGCTCTCAGTTCTGTTAGAGCGCTAGGCAGCCTTCTCTCAACTCACTTGCAAGCAAAGAAACAGAGAGCAAAGACAAAGGAAACGGGAGAACTCTCTAGTGTGTATTACTCTAAAAAATTATGGAATGAGTTACAAGTGAGGGAGATGGCTCCTTATATAGGCCTCTCCTCATACAAGGCATCAATCCCCCTAATAATGTCCCTCTACATCAATACACCCATTAAGTCCTCCATTATGCACTCTATAAATGTCACCCATTATGTGACTCATAAGTGCACCATTAAGCCGTCTATTAAGATGGAGAATCCTAGGAGCATCTCTATGCTACTAGTCTTCCATACACGCACATGTGCAGGCGCCATGTTGTCACCTTGTTGGCGCCATGTCATCTGCCACATGTGACACTCCTGAGTGGTAAGCACAATGTTGCTCCAACTTGTACCAATTTGGATAATGAGGTTTCATAGGCTCACATGGTGTTTGGGAACTTAGGTGACTTTGGATTAGCCGAGGGAGCAGTTCAGTGTATGTAATAGGAATAGGGTTAATTTGGATAGGTTTTCTGTATCTCTCCAAATTGTTTTGATTGTGGTTATTAACTACTCGTGTGACTTGTGTCGGCATCCGCACTGCTGGTTGTGTAGGAATCCTTAGATGTTGAGTAATTAGTGCAGCATCAACAACATAGTGATGAGCTTGATCCTTTTGAAATTGACACTTCCGGGTATTTTCTTTTGCTTGTCCTTGAATGATGTTGATCACTTGCTTTGGTGACTTTTTAGAGTTATGCGGATTATCATGTTTTAATCCTATATTTTTCTGATCATGCATGTTCTCTGAGGCTACGACGTCGGGTTTATCATTCAATGTCACTTTGCCGTGCGGTCGGTATAAAATTTATTCGTCGACTGGCGCATATCCACTTTTCATTTCCATCGACCTCTCAATTTTTGACAAAATCCTTAAGATTGCGCTAACCTCCTCTTTCATTTCTTCAAGCCCAATCACTCTTCTCTTGATGTCATCTAAATCCTTCTGAAATGCCTCCATGACCAGCTTAATCTTGGATCTTGTCGAGTACTTAAGGATTTGACGTTTTCTTCGTATAGCAATTTTAAGAAAACCTAGGCATGTCTTAGCATTGTTAAATTCTTTCCATCTTTTTGAATGAAGGCGTATGCGTGATACTTGTGCAAAATGGGAATGATGTATGAATGAAAAAATGATTTTTAGGGATACATGCGATTTTTCTTAAATCTTTTTATGATCAATTATGAATGAGTTAAAGAAAATTTTATGAGAGAATGATGTTTATGAGTTTCGAAAACACTTTTCGTTCATACAATCACATGATTTTATGAGTAAAAGATAAAAACGCATAACATTAAATCGTAAGCAAACATACATTTAAATAAGCAAACATATATCATTACATCATAACCCTGTTTAGGAAGGCCTAGGGCTTTTGGGCCGCGCAACGACATGGTTTTAGGGTGGTTTCGGGATTGTTTTGGATGGTTTAGGGTGGCTGGATACTCGGGATCATCCTCGGATCCGAGTTCAACTTGGTTGAAAGTTTTGTGTGACTACCACTACTGTGGATGTCACGGTACTCCTTTCGATTTTCTAAAAGGATAGCTAGGGTATAGAGCTTTTATGCATGAATGCAGAATTAAATTGCGAAAATATACTTGCGCAAATAAGAAAGTAAACACCCAACACATAATAGGAAAATAGAAAACTTATCGAACTTAAATATATAGCTCTACTCTCAAAAATCCCCAGCGGAGTCGTCATCTGTCGCAACCGTCCCTCCGCGGGTCGTCGTGGGTCGCGTTCGCTTTTTGGGAGTTATGTGTGTTGGGTGTTATTTTGGTAATTATCGTGTATTTTAAAATCCCACTAGATTATTAATATATTGCTTATGACTTAACTAATACGTCATTGGACGTTTAGTTCATGATTAGATATTTTAGAAATTTTTAGGGCCTTACTGGACCACTAAAGAAATTAAATCGTATTAGTTGTAATTTAATAATATGCCTACTGACGTAAAAAATGAAAAGATACAATTAATTGGTTAGTTGGACTCGAACCTCATCGGTTGCCTACGTAGCCGTAATACGGGATCAAAGTCCACGTAGTTCGTTATAACTTTGATAGTTTAATTGTATGACTTTGGTCACGTTACACATATGATGGTTCTCGTATTAAAGGTTTTTGTTAACTTTGATAGTTTTATCCCAAATTTTATCACGTTCCACTGAATGTTATTCTTGCATTATAATTTTGTTAATAGAATTTTAATTAGATTATTATGATGTTACTAAAATGAAAGCAAGAATTTTAATTATTAAGAAGAAATTTGATGTATCAGACAAGAAGCAAAACTAATTTAATCCGCATTTCACATTTCGTATTAAGGACTTTAAACAAATAAAACTAAACGGGATGGTTAAGTTAACACATGATGGGCCAGCATCCCTACTGGCTAAGTTGCTAGTTATAGTGCATGTTCAACCCCAAGAACAAAGGTTTGAAACTTGTTACCTACATTTTTGTTGATTCTCGTTTTATTTCAGAGAAGGGGGGAAGGGTAGTTTTGTAAATTCTCAAAAGCACGGTGGGAGGGGTGCTTAATTGTGACGTAACCCTAGGGACAAAACGGTCATTTGCGGGTAGGTATCAAAGATTCTCTTAGGACAAAAATGAAAGCCTAATCCTAAATCAATAGCCTCTCATCTCTCTCTCTCTCTCTCTACCTCTACCTCTCCCTCTCTCCTCTCTCTCTCTCTCTCTCTCTCTCTCTCTCTCTTTTCGCCGTTCTTCCTCTCGTTCCCTCTCTTCTCGCTGCCTCCTCTGAAACGAGCAGAAAGAAGAGGAAACCCTAAACAACACAAAACTCTCCTTCTCTTGATCTGCTCTCTCCCTCTCGGATCCGTCCACCTCTTTCTCTCCTTGATTCTGGAAGAAACGAGAAAAAAATGGAAACGAGAGGAGGTGGTGCTGACGGCGACGGTTGAGGTGAACAAGGCCATGACAAGGCAAGAGGGCGTCGATCCGGTTAAGAAGATCGGTACATGCATGATTATTTCTAGGTTTGAATTTGTTCTTATTTATTGTTATGATTCTGATTTGGTTTTTGTTTTTGTTTTTGGTTTTCGGTGGGGAGGAAGAGCAAACGACAGAAGATGGAGAACGCCTCCCTTTCGATTCAGGCAAGAGAACGCCTGTAGCCTCCCTAAATCGATCGAAAATCGACGATCTAGGTAAGATCCTCGACAAGCATGTTCTTCTCTTTTGATTTTTTGGTTTTTAATGGGATTCTGACCTTTCCATTTTCTGCTTGAATTGATGGTTTCTGGGTTTGGAATTTCAGTGAGGAGGAAGAAATCGAAGGAAGGGTGAAGCCGAGGAGGTTCTCGGCGGCTACTACACTGACGACTGGCTGGGTAGGTGCTTTTCCTTTTTTTTCAGATCTGGATATCGGGGAAACTCTCAAGGTTTAAGATATGATGGTTTGATTTGTTGGACGCAGGTTATGGAAATGGACGGATCTAGGTGAGGTTCTCCTATCCTAGGTTTAGTTTGGTTAGGGATTTTTAACCAAAATAATATTATTTATGGTGAATTTGAACTACTCTACAAACCTGGATTTTGGGAAATATGGTTGTATATGCGTATTCTAGATCTAGGATGAAATTTGGGAATTGTGGACATCACCCATAAATCACTTTGATTTTTATGCTAAAAATGCAACGAAACCTGTTTTCCTTCTAAAATCACAACTGCTGCTTGTGATTTTGGCAAACTAGTGACTATAAATCACTACTATTACTTGTGATTTTTGCTAGACTAGGATTGATTTTAAAAAATGTTGTAGATTTATGGATATGGAATTAACTTTGAACTAGGAGATTAGCAATCCTTGTATGTTTCGGCTCTTAGTGCTATCATTAAAAAACAAAGAGGTTTAGAAAGAAAGCGAGCTCATTAGACATCGCCGCCACTTCTTGCGATCACTAGCCTATAAGAAACTATTTTTTTCACTAATCGTACGATTATTGGTTTGATTAGAATTTTTGTGATGTATTTATTAGAAAAATTGTTGTGGGTTTAAGAACTGAAATTTGTTGTAGTATTCGTTTCGACCTATTGCGTGTATAAATATTCTATATAAGATAATTGCGAAAGTATTGGCAAATAGGTTGAAGGTTGTTCTCCCTACTCTTATTAGTCGAAATCAGTCAACTTTTATTCAAGGGCGTAGCATCTTAGAGAACATACTAATGGCTCAAGAAGTAGTTCAGAATTATCATAGAAATCAGCTTTCATCTAGGGCTGCTGTTAAGGTTGATCTCAAAAAGGCCTTTGATTCTGTTCATTGGGGTTATCTTTTGAGTGTGATGAGTTTAATGGGATTCCCAGATGGCTTCATTAACTGGATTTTTCTTTGTCTAAGTTCAGCCACGTTCAGTATTACTATCAATGGCAGCCTTTTTGGTTTTTTCAGTGCTGTGAAAGGGGTCAGGCAGGGGGATCCTCTCTCCCCCTACCTCTTTACTATTGCAATGGAACCTCTGTCGGGTTTATTAAATATAGCAGCAGCAAATGGTGGATTCCCCTATCATCCTCAATGCAGACAGATTGGTCTCACTCACTTGAGTTTTGCTGATGACCTCTTGATCTTCTCAGAAGGGTCAGGTCAGGCTTTGAAGGGTATCAGGAAAGTTTTGGACGCATTTTATCAACTCTCAGGATTACAGTGCAATCTAGACAAATGTGAAGTGTTTTTTGGTGGTTTTGCTCACCAGTTTAAATCCACTGCTCTACAAGTTTCTAGCTTCAAGGAGGGCAAGTTGCCAGTTAGATACTTAGGCCTACCTTTGATCTCAGGGAAACTGTCTAGTGTTGAATGTGCTGTCCTAGTAGACAAACTAACCCAACGGATCAGAGGGTGGAGAGCTCAGAAGTTATCTTATGCAGGCAAGATCCAGTTAGTAGAGTCTGTTCTATATGCAGTTGTTCATTACTGGATGGCAATTTTTATTCTCCCAAAGAAGGTGCTTAAGAGTATTCAGAAGTTTTGTTCCAATTTTCTATGACATGGTGATGGTGTTGGCAAAGCCAAGGTTGCCTGGGAATCAATTTCCTTGCCAAAAAAGGAGGGTGGGCTTGGCCTGAAAGACCTAAGTACATGGAACATTGCTTGTTTAGCTAGGCTAATCTGGCTATTGCTGATCCAGGGAGGTAGTTTCTGGGTTGCTTGGTGTACCAGATATAGATTGAGAGGCCACTGCATTTGGGAGGTCAGACTCACCTCTTCTGGATCTTGGATCTGGAAACAGCTGCTGAAACTTAGATCCTGGCTGCAGTTCAGGATGTGTCTTGAACCTGACGGCAGTGTATCTTGGTTGGGTAGGAAATTGAGTGTTTATTCTGTTTCACTGATATGGAACTCTATTAGACTTAAGGGTCCTGAGGTGTCTTGGTGGAGAGTGATCTGGGGACGATTTATTATACCACGTAATTGATTCATTATCTGGTTGATCATATTAAACAGAATTGCTACTCGTGATAAACTGAAGAGCTGGGGAATGATTATTGATGACTCTTGCCCTCTGTGCCACGCTGCTGCTGAGTCCCGCCAGCATTTGTTCTGTGAATGCTCCTTTACCTCGGCTTTTCTTGCTGCACTTTTCATGCGAGCAGTGTCCCTTCCTCGGACGTGGGATGATATGTTGGTTAGCATGACTGATAAAGCTATGTAGGGAGTTCAAGCAGGATTAGTTGATTGCTCTGTTTGGTGTTGGTGTTTGTGTTTCATATGGAAAGAGAGATGCCGTCGTTGTTTTGGGTAGCAATCTCATTCTTCGGAGGCTCTTGGTGAGATGTTGCGTAGGGAGATCAGTCTGTATGGTTGTGGAAACGTTGATTTTCAGCAGGAGATTAGCAGGATTCCAACTTTTTGTGACCTGTGTTAGCTAGCTTTTGTATTTTCAGGTTTATCCTTCGCTGAGTGTTTAAGCTGTAAGGATGTTTTGGGGCATTTTGCCTTTGTATTTTTCGAAGCTTACTGCTTATTTGCAGTAATGCTAGTGCTTAAACCAACTAATCACCGGAATTTTTTGTTGTTGTGGTATGATAATTTTTGTTGGATATGGATTTGGATCTACCAATCAAGACCCCTAAGAAAATGTGTTTTTGACTTCTTTCTATAAGTGCATCAAGTGTATATGCTAAGAATGGACACTGGAACTTGATTGAACATAGAGCATTGTAAAAATGGTGTTATCGTGTATACCAAGTACCCACGGTAAGTAAAATCTAGGAAATTAAGCAGATAGCTGATAATAAAGGAGTGCTTAAGTAAAGACAAGATGCAAATAGATCACTGCAGTCGTACATCTTATATTTTGATAGTAAGGATTGCTCATAGAGGTAATTAAAAAGACATGGCAAAACTGATTCATATCATTATCCAAGTAGAGAAAAAGAGTACACAGGTTACCAACCTCATCCGAGAAGCTTAATCTTGCTTCTGCTTGCTTGCTTACAGTTCTTGTAACTAGAAGCGAATTGAACCTCTCTTCAACCTTGCTTTAATCTCCCCAAGAAAGATTAACATTGACTCTCCAAATGCTTCTCTCCATCTTTCTTCCGCGTTTTCCCCCTTCAAAAGTCGTCCCCTTTCAAAGAGCCTAAAGAGCTCACTTATACCAAACCAAACCACCACGTGTCACTATATGATTGTTCATTTCTTTATTGCAACTTTGAAAGGTGTGCCCCTGTTGAGGTCAGCTGTGGATAGGATATGGTCGAGTCGAACCAGGCCGGTTGGGTTATGGTCGGATTTCGTTGGGCCGAGTTAGGCCTGTTGGTTGGACGTTTGTTTGGGCCGGGCCTGTCTTAAATTTGTCCGGGCTGATACATGCTCTGTCTAGTCTTGAATTACTTTGATTTGGGCTTAATCTATGGACTTGGACTCTGGCTTGAGAACTGACTGGTCTTTTCTTTAGCAGATTGGTTTTGCTTTGGGCCCAAAAGAAATAGCAAAAAGGCCTAGTCTTGATCTGATTGGTGCCCCAAATTTTGTAGAGTTAGCATTAGTCATTGTAAATAATTCTAATTCTTGCTTTATTTAGAGGTCATTACCCAAGTTATACGATGTATCAACTTTGAATCTTTGATTATAAAGCTCATTCCAGATTCAATTTGTCCCATTTCAAATACCGAATTCAAATCCAAACTCGAGCAACAAAATTTGCACTATAGTCATTTCTTCCATCCAATTGAGAATTTATATTTAAGATTTGCCACTGCTAATCGTAACTTAAATCGATCCTATCTTAACTAATTATGCCCTAGAATCGACTAGGAGCAAATTTGAAAATTGTTGGTTTATGTTGACTTGCAACTGCTAGTTTTAACCAAACTATCTCAAGCATCTTTTTAAAATATTATTATGGCATGATGTTACAATTAGTTTTTTTAGTAGAACGATTATCCCGGACAAAATGTGGTGTCTACATACCCAACCTGTTTGACCTATTTTTGGGCGGGGCGGGCAGGCATGGGTATGCTCATCGACCGACCTGTCCTGACCTGCCCCATTCACGACCCGTTCTTGTCTAAATTACATGCAATCGTAGTCAAATTACTAAGAAATTTTCTTTTGTTACATCATATTTTAACTATTATAAAGTTGCGAAGAAGTGAAATCCTCAATTTTCCCAATAACTTAACTACATTTTATCATATTATGATTTGTTTCTTGGTCTTATAATGAAAATAACGAATATTTCTAAAGCTTTTCATATAATTTATATAACCATTATAAATTACCCGACCTACCACGGGAAGGGTATGGGTATCGAGATACCTGCCCCATTGTCATTCCTAGTTCTGATATCTTATAGGGTTAATAGCATTTTATACCCTTGTCCTATTACAATTTAACAAACATGCCCCTCTATTATTTTTCGCACAAACGTATCCTTCTATTATCAAAATGTAACAAACATCCACTTCTGTCCAAATTTTTGTTAACTAACATTAAATGACTATGGTAATTGACTATATTGCCCCTTGCTTATTATCGTCAATACCAGACTTCTCCCTTTCACCTCTCACGCCGATTGCACCTCTGCATCGATAGCAACAAGTCCTATTTTATGGGACCTCAACAGTCAACCCCCTCTTCTCGGTTGCAAAAGAAAATAAAGAGCAATTAAAATTTACAACAAATCGTGGAAACCTTTCGGTATGTGAAATTTGTTGGGCATTATGATAGATGATAAATTTATAAAAATCCCGAATTTCAAATCACAAATTAGGGTTTCAAATAGTTTGACAAAATAATTGAAGAGGGGGGGAGAATGGAGGTCAAAGAAAGACCCTTGGAAGTTTCTCACGTATGATGCTGTCGGAGTGGAGGATTGGTCGACAGAGGAGCAGTGTGTGGAAGAGAAATCATCGGACGGAAAGAGAAGCTGCGCTCGGTCGGAGGGGGAGGCGAGGACGGAGGAAGAAGTCATTAGTCATTGCTACTTCTGATCTATGTTCGATCGGCTGGAGAAGAGCTTCATGAGGGCGTTAGAGAACCTCCGACAAAAGAGTCTACTACGGCTTCGTCTCCTCAAAAGGAGAAGTACGAGTTGGAGCCTGAGGGGGATTCATTGTCGACAATGAAGGGGAACGGATAAAAATAATAAAAAACTAAATTAATAAAATAACTTCATTTCTTTTAAGAGCTCCACAACTACTGATTATGACTATACAGAAGCTTTGTTGGAGTGTCCCTGGTTCTTAAGAAATCTCCATAGGAGTAGAGGTAACAGTTAGTAGATCCTTGGATGTATGCATCGAACACCCTTGGTCGAACAGTGTTTGAAGAGGTGTGAACCGAGTAACATCATTTTATGTTTTCTTGAAGTCAGGGTGGATTAATCACGCGAAATTTCACTTAAAACAAATTAGCACACCCGGTGGGACAACGTGTGTTCGATATGGCTCCGCAATGAAGGATTCAGGATGGTGATCCTCCACAAGGTGTTGTGGAGGAGGGACAGTTGGTCAACATTGAAATTGACCAAGCAGGAGGAAACAATGCTGGAACAGAGGTGCCACCTATGGCGCCCAATGTCCATCCAAGTGAAGCATCACCATCAATCCGCCAAATGGTGGAACAACTGGTGGTTGGGATGAATAGTAACTACTAGCAGGTAAACCTTCGTCTTGCTTCTTTGGATGAGTGTATTGATGGTTTGATTTCATGTACTGATAGACGATTTGCTCAAATATTTTAGTTGGTAAACAAAAATACGAATGATTTGGGTGAGTTTAGGCAATTGTTGAATATGCCAGTTTGACAAACTAGGGCTTTGTCTTCAGATGGTCGAAACTTTCCAAATCTTGAAAGTGAAAACGTTAACATACCATCCAATTGTGGTGGTCGAGGTGAGCAGCCACACCCAGTGAACCCTACACCACCAGTGGCAACCCCCGTACAAACACCTCAATGGGTGAATGTTGGTGAGAGTCATGCCACTTCATCTCAGATCAATGTTGAGAAATCGCCACCTGTGTAAGGTGTTATGACACGCCAAAACACAACACCAATCTGCGACCAAGTGTAATCGCAGACCGGGAATGCAGTAACAGGCAAGTTATATTATCAACCCGGGGTCTAGATCTACTGCTTACTCAGTGATTCTCTGTTATCTAGCCAACTAAAGTAAGTGATTGTTGTTTAAAAGCAAAAGCAGAAATAAAGCAAGAATTGATACGGTTTTCTCAAGCAGGAAAGAGTCACTCGGGAATGAGTCCCCCTAGCTCCTTAGTTAGGTTTCAATTGTATTTCCCTGGGTTGATTTACTGTTGATTAGACTGCGAAAGATCCGACAGTAGCTTGGAATCTCTTAAGCTGACCAAGCCCTCTCAGTCTAACTACCCGGCAGACGACTAATCTTCACCGGGATAGAAAGCTGAAGCAGTAAGAACAGAACTCCACTACTGGAATTGGATTCCAGTACAAAGCAGTAAACTGGCTAACTCTCGTATAGCCAATCTCCTACTATCGAATGATGAGACTCTAGCAACCTAATCAGATTCTATCTATCTCAGATTGCAGCAGGAATCAGGAAAAGTTGATCAGACTTCAATTGACTCAATAAACATGCATCATTCGATTAAAATCAAACAGTAATCTCATCCCAAGTCATTACAATCAATCCCTAACACATAGAACTATGGTTTTTCATCCCCAAGTGAGAGAGGGGTTCTACTCCATAGAGAGAGAGAAGAAAACAGTAATCGGAGTAGTCATACTCATAAAGATGAGGAAAATCTGCTCCGGGATGATAATTTCCACTCCTAGGACGATCTCCAAGCTTGATTTGATGAATCCCAGCTCCAAGATGGCTTCTAGGGTGAGTTCTTTGTCCTTTCTCTCTCTAGGGCTCTGTTTTTGCTCAAGAAATTCGATCCCTCTTCCTTGGCTCGATTCTGGCTTCAAAAACCCGACTCTGGGCGAAATACGGGCAGAATTACGGCCGTAATCACGGCCTGCCTGTAATTCGCCCAAAACGCGCGTTTCGCTTTAATCTGATGGAAGAGGAGCCACGCCCGTAATTTCCAATTACCGCCAGTATTTCATGAATTACGGCCGTAATCTGTTGCATGCTTGCCCGTAATTTTAGTGCCGAGAAGAATTCTTGGAAAAGTGGCTCGGCAATGGATTTACGGGCATGCCCTGACCAATTACGGTCGTAATTTGGCAGCGGCTGCCCGTAATTTGTCCTGTGAATCACCATCTGACCTCCAAATGACCCGAAACTTGCGCCTATGCACCTCTTTACTTGCTAGGACCTGAAATACGACAAAACAACACAACCTAGCGTAAAATAGGCCAAAGAACAATCAATTCAAGCTGAAATGGACAGGAAACTAGAGTGAAAACACGTGCAAATACGATGCTATCAAATTCCCCCACACTTAACCGTTTGCTTGTCCCCAAGCAAACCAAGTCAGACACAAGGTAAGCTTACATATTTCAATCAACCAACATTGGGGACTAGTCATAAAGGCACAGAACACGTGAATCGTACTGGTTTTCAAACATCAACACATGAGCAACTTCAATATCAACCAGGACAACCACCACAAAGGACATTCGAGTGCAGCAAAATCGAGTAAAGGAAGAGTCTCCC